CTCTTTTTTGTATCACAGTATAACCATTATCAGTATTTTGAAATATCAAATCTGAGCATAATACGTATACATGTATATCTGTAATTGTGAAAATAAGACGCAGATTATTAGTTTAATAATATAATTATTTTAATTACAATAGTGCCTTATTCAAAACAAAAATAATATATATAATGAGGTTGCGTAAAAAAGCAACGTGCATTTTATCTAAATCAATGCAGTTATTTGGTTTTCTTTATCAAATTTCAGCGTTATGTAAAAAGGCACATAGCTTTATATTTTTCTCGTTGTAATCCTATTTCTAAAAGAAAGACATTCAATCAATCTTTATAGATTCAGTTTGCAGAAAGCTTAAGTGTACCTCTGATATAATTTCTGTCACTTTGATGGATACAGTAACTGTTTTAATGTAAAAGCATGAGACATTTTTGTTTTATAGATTTTCTGAAAAGCATTCATTGATATTTGATCTTGTTTTCAGTTCCAACATCTCATTTCCAACTATTTTAAATTTCGCTCGAAGGTACAATTTTGTTTTGTATATTAAGTGTTACATATGAAAGATCAATTGTTTAAAATAAGCTCACATGAATATGAAAAAAATTATTAAATTTTGTAAATGATTGTAAAATGAGGAAATGGATATCACACATTTATAGACAAAGTAACTGTTAGAAAAACAGTTAAACCGCGATTTTAGTAGGCGTTGTACAATTGTTCTTTTATTTTGAAAGGAATAAAGATAGCAAAGTAATATTATTTCAATTGTGATGATAAAAATGAAAGGATGATACGGATAACTAGTAAAGCAAAAACACTGAATGTTATATGATTGGTGAAATCTCAATTCTTTCAATTCTTAATAAACTTAAATGTTTAAAACAGAAAGTATTATTAAAAGTCAGTTTGTATTGTGTATTGTTTGTCCCTTTACAATGAATAGTAAAATTAATCATTTGACAAATTTGATTATTTGTTTCAGAGAAAAGAATTAAAATATATAATGTCCCCTGTAAAGTTATTGGTGATAAATATATTCCATTATGAAGCTTAAATGTAAAATTGATTAATCCCTGTAAAAGTGTAAAAATCGTTCTCATTAAGTGAAACAAAAACGGATGAAATCAACAATTTCAAGTGAGAAAATAAAATATTATTATATGCTCGCAGACAGAAGTTTTAAAACCGTACATAGTATCATAGAAAACCCTGACATGTTATATTTTAGATGGTTAACAACTATTAATCTGTATGATTTGTTTTTAAATAATAATATAGGCAACTTTTATTCTTTTTTTGATTGGTAGATTGCACACATACAAAATATATATTTATTAAATTTAATAGAAATGTTCATGTTTGATATTCAAGTAAATGCCAGCTTCTTAGTATCTCATTTCTTTCAAATAGTTTTAAAGATTACATCTATTTGTATGAACTCTTTAGGGGACAAGAAACACAAAGTTATATTTCACTTAGAACCTTTCTTTTTAACCAGATTTAATTAAGCTACTTTTATACTTTAAAACAACACATTGACCACCTTACCCAATTTCATACAAACATTTGCATACCAAAACCCAAGTCATCACGACTGTGATAGAATTTAATTAATATCCTTGTCAATAAACTATCGGCAAACTTACAATTTCGATCCCAATTCTGCAGTTATCATTCATTCAATTAAATTATTAATATTGTAATTATTATTCATTTATTGCCGTCCTGAAAAGACATTTACCGAACCCAAATATATTGATTGCAAGAGTCATTAAATTTTGACACATGTAACTTGCACATGTGCAAACCCGGGTTACAGTATTGTGAATGATGGGCGGGCGTTTGGCGGGCGGCGGGCGGCTGGGGAAAATTTCGTAACAGTTTTCTCAGCAACTACTTATCACAACCTCTTGATATTTGGCATACAGCATTGACACGTAGTCCCATACTGTGGGATTCGATTTCAGGTGTGTCACTTATCCACTTCCTGTTTCTCGACATAGTTAAATTTTCGACATAAATGGCCAATGATAGGAAATTTTCGTAACATTTTTTTTAGCAACTACTAATCACAGCCTTTTGATATTTGGCATACAGCATTGACACGTGGTCCCATACTGTGGGATTCTATTTCAGGTTTGTCACTCAACCACTTCCTGTTTCTCGACTTAGTTAAATTTTCGACATTAATGGTCAATGGTAGGAATTTTTCGTAACAGTTTTCTCAGCAACTACTTATCACAGCATCTTGATATTTGGCATACAGCATTGACACATGGTCCCATTATGTGGGATTCGATTTCAGGTTTCTCACTCATCCACTTGTTGTTTATTGACTTAGTTAAATTTTCGACATGAATGGTCAATGGTAGGAAATTTTCGTAACAGTTTTCTCAGCAACTACTTATCACAGCCTCTTGAAATTTTCTCAGCAACTACTAATCACAGCCTTTAACACAGGGTCCCATAATGTGGGATTCTATTTCAGGTCTGTTGCTCATACTTTTCCTGTTAATCGACTTAGCTAAATCTTCGACATTAATGGTCAATGGTAGGAAATTTTCGTAACAGTTTTCTCAGCAATAACTTATCACAGCATCTTGATATTTTGCATACAGCATTGACATGTAGTTCCATACCTTGGGATATTATTTCAGGTATGTTGCTCATCCACTTCCTGTTTACTGACTTAGTTAAATTTTCGACATTAATGGTCAGTGGTATTTTTTCCCGTAACATCACAGCATCATGATATTTGGTATACAAATGCAACCCGGCCTTTTCTGTCTTTGACCCATTTTCTTTTCTGTCTTTGACCCATTTTTATAATTTCTCTTTTGTATTCATCCAATTGTGAAGAAGATGAAATTTTGCCAAGGAGACTGTTTTAAATCAGACTATAAAAAGATTTGATTAAAAGTTTATTTAATGGAACTTTAGATTAAATTGGATTGAGTTTAATGTGCTATCGATCAAGAAGCTTTGAAATATCTAAAATGTAAACTGAGCACAATAATGAATTTCATCAACGCTAAAGAACGTGAACAATGTAACAGTATTACAACTGATAAACTTTCACATTGAGTTTGTGCACCAAAAAGAGAATCTTTAACTTTACCATTTTTTTAAGATTCTAATTATTATATTGGAAAAGATCCTATAGCATATTGTTTTAGAGTCACAATCCCTAGTACAGTTTATGTCACTAGTTTGGGCAAAGTCTGTTTTGTATTTTCGTGTTGAATTGTTCAAAATATATATTTTCCAAATATTTATTAGCGTGCAATTAGAAAGAAATGGTCCGATATGTTGTAAAAATGGTTTTATCAAGTAAATAGTAAAAAAGCTTGTTAAACTTATATATTTTTGAATTTTGTCAATATTTATGAATCATTTTAAACGAATCTTAAGATTGATTTTGTAGCGGTCATTGAATATCAGTATTAATACATATATTTTATATCCAAATTTCGGCTAAAATGTCAAACTCTCCATGTTGTGTTATGGATAACTCTAAATGTAATTTACAAGTTTAACGTTTCTAACTTACCTTTATATTTTAAAAGGTCTTTTTAACGTCTCGAAATCGTACAAAATGAATTTTTTGCTAATGTTTTATTTAAAGGTCTGGCCTAGTACAATCTCATAATATAAACAAAAATATGTCAACTCTTCGTGAAATCATGTCTTTAAAATGTTAAACATATTTAAAATGCAGATGTTGTAAAAGTAATACTATTATTTAAAGAAAATAAATTGAAAATATCATTTCACTTGCAATTTCCTCGTTTTAGGCGAGGTTCTATTTATTTCCCATAATATTACTAATGTTATATTCACGTGCCAATTATATTTGGTACCGTGCCCTAGGATTAACGGCAAAAATGTAAATTGATGTAAAGAACTAACAAAGAATAACACATGTTCAAAACAGCTTGACAAATAGACCCAATGATTTGTTAATTATAATGTTTACTTGAAATTGAATCTTGCATGTAAGGAAAGGAAAAGAACCAAAACAAGTCATGCAAGTGTCAAAGAAAATGGCATGTTCGCGGTGCAATAATAATTAATGATATCTAACAACATTAAACATAATGAAAACCTGTCTCCGGTGAATTGATGTTTCCAGTAAATAAGACAATCCAAGTTGGAAAATCAAATGAGTTATGTCAAAATAGTTTAAAGTAACGGTAAGGAAAGGAATTAACAACTTTCTAGGTGGGTTTTAAGTTGCACAAACACATTAGAGGTCATTTGGCGACTTTCGAACTATAATGGCGGAGGATGACTTCCGTGCATTATTTTAGGCAGAAGTGGGCACCTGAGTAGAACCACTGACAACCCTTTTGTTGACTAGATAGCTTACTCACATGGAAAAATTAAAGTCCCTGGCGTAGAAAAATCATATTTTAAATATGTCTTTAATTTCTGTTGGTGATTTCGATGTTTGATGAAATCTTAATGCAGATACTACACTAGACTACCAGGAATGTTAAATATGTGTGTACGAAATTTAGGGAAACGTTTTTCTTTTCGAATATCCATTCTTTCTTTAATTATAATTAAGTAAACATATTATGCTACTCTTTTTTTATATTCAATAGAAGTAATTGCATTTTCGTACAGTTGTACAAAAATATGAAAATAAAAATGATTTAGTAAAACCTAAGTTAACTTCGAAAACGATTCAATGATCTGGTATTTTCTTTTTAAATGACACTGCATAAAATAATTTTGTTTCCATACTATAACATTGTTATTTGAAATCATATCTTAATCATAATCAACATTAAAATGAACTTGTATATAACAATAAACTAATAATTACACTTATACAATAACAATTGTACATACATACCTGATCAGATAATGCCAGTTTTATGTTAGTCAGATGTAACAAAGATTCCTTTTACAATTTAATTCAATATGTGTGAATCCGAATGTGAAAGAAATGAAAACCAAATAAACGATAAGAAATTGTTTTGTTTTAACTTCAGGTTAGATGCCTGTAGCTAAAAACCTACTGCAATCTGTGTGTTGAAAATATTCTAGCGGCGGCTCCTCACAGAGAGATAGTTTATGGGGTAACTTCTCAATGATATGTAAGTAAAATGTTACCTATTTATTGTTTGATTTTATTAACCTGTCAATTCCATACTCATTATACGGTCAATGCACAGAATATATTAATATTCGATAAATGTTCGGTAAATTCCGTGAGATGTACACAGTAAGATGTGATTAAATTCATCTAGTTTCTATGAGTAAATTACACTGACCGTTATAGCGCAATAGGGTAAACCACGGGTATATAATATCAAAATATCCTACATGTTGTAAGATCGAGACAGTGTATGTCCAGAGTTATTTTCTTATGCGCTTGACAATTTTCTTTAAAATATACCTAAAAATAAAGACATCTCTGGAATAAGTCTAAATAGAATGTCAAAAGAAGGGATCGAACTTCGGACCTCTCATACATTAGGTAATCACTTAACCGACTGTGCTATTGCGGATGTTACGAGAACTATCATTAAGCTAGTGGGAGTTTTCCAAACGTTACTGATATACTCCATATTAATTCTCGTAAAATAAACGGACAAAAACCGAAGTGGGATCGAATATTTAAATGAGTGCTATAATGTATTCATTATTGACAGGTCAATAAAATCAGACTATATCTATAGTATAGTATTATATTTTATTTCTATGACTTAATGTTATTTACTTTCATAGAGTAAAATATTATATGAATGAGCTTGTTTATTCAGGAAGATAAAGATATACTAGATATAACTTCGGTTTCTTTAAACAAACACACTTACAATAACCCCCACAAACCTCAAAATAACCCACGAAATCAATATTAAGATCTCCCATTGTTTATGAAAAGATGGACCGAAATATTCCATTACATGTAACAACTAATTTAACGCCATTTAAATTCTATACTCTAAACGCTGTTTTTCAATATTCGAACTATATTGTGTTATAATACAATAGGACAAATAACAAGAAAAGTGATTTAATGTTTTATTATGATATACAAACAAATCATTAATACTCCTACGGAAATATTTTCTTTCAGCAGAAATTTATGACATTCATTTACTTTATTTGATACAATAGCTAAATCAATGTCATGCACTCTCTTTTCATTAAGCTGTTTCGTCGCATGTGTCTGAAAATAGCTTTTTCATTTGTTTCTTCTGATTGATTAAACACATTTTGCTTCGAAAAAACTTTCAAAAGCTTTCTATTCAGGATATTAAGCAAGAGTTTTTTTTTCTTCATGAATTTCACTATTGTTTTAACTATTCAAACAACAGGAGAATATAACAGATTATCTTGTCTTTTGATATGGTACAAGGGGTATTTTATTTTGAATTTAGTTGAAGACAGGCAAATATTGCTTTGCAAATTTAACGTGTTACAAATTTCATTCAAAAGGCTGTGAGAAATAAAAAGCCTGGTAGAACCTTATCTCGACATCTTTCTGTTGTCTTGTTAGTAATTACATTATTACTACATTATGAAGGTTTACTTCGTTTTGCAAATGTACATGTCATTAAGTTTTTTTTGGTGATAATATGAAACGTTACATAAAATGCAAATTCTTAGTTTTATTGAAGTTGTATTACTAATTTAATTGCCTACAAACTTTAGGCGCTAGCTGTACTACGATATGCGTAAAAATGAACTAGAAAGATTAAAAGAAAACTCCAGTGACACACCTTCCTGTGTTAATATCAAACACGAGAATAAAAAATAAATTATTATTAACAAAATTAATAAAAACCGACACTTGTTATATAACACTATATTGCTACAATTTAAAGTAATGTAATCAGTAATCAAAGAACATATTAATTTATTTTGAGTCATCAAAACTTTTAGTTTGAAATAAATGGTTGAATAATTTAATTGAGATAAAGGACATAAAATGTCTGTTAAAATATAGAGTCAATACATGGACGCTACCGGCTACTGAAGTCAAATTGTTCTTGCTGTTTCCAACAACTGTTATAAAATATCGAAGTTTATACGTTCCCCGCGACATTCTGTACGATTTCGGCAGAAAATCTCGCTGGCCACAATACTTTATCGATAAATACTAGTAAGTTTCAGAGATGATTCATCGATCTTGTAAGTGGAACTATAGAATACTCATCCAATATTGTCTTTGGATTATTCAAATTAGGTTACATATTTAATTTTAAATTCATCAAGATCAGTGATGAAATAAACTGTCTTGCCTTCATGTACTTATTAATAATTGAAGTTATCAGTGTATCAAACACAAAATGGCTAAAAGTGTTCGTTAATCAAGAGTTTTCTCGTCTGTAGAATCTCTTGTCTCTATTAAGCAAATCAGGATAGACAATAATTGCAAAATAGCATGTTTCAAAACTGACAAGAGAGTCACTTAACTTTAAGGCCTACATGAATTCTTTTCCTGTCACGAATTTTGTTTGTTATCGGAATGATAATATAAATTCGAACCAACCCTTTCAATTTCTTTCTTTTATATACCTTGACAGTTGGGTGGACTTTTCGTGTATTTATGAACCGCAGTACATTAGTTGACTTGGTTATTTCACATTTCAATGTTTCTTACGTGTATCACGGTACATACGCTTGTAAAAACACCTTTGATGTCATTTATTTATTTTAGTAATTAAATATAATGTTATAATATGATGAAATTATAACATTGATCTATTAAAGGTCCATTAAACTCCCTAAATGTCATTATTTATATTTCTCAAAAACTTCAGATGTAAGGTTTCCTTGGCCCTATAGATGAGCTACCTTTTACTTCCTTTGCTCTTTGGCAATTGGTGAATTAGGTTTTTATATGGAAATCAAAACACTACTTATTTTACATGCTGCTACCTTAACGATACATTAATGTTCGTTCAGCGCTACTATGTTCAGTCGTTAAACATTCTAATATGCTCTAAATACATTTTAAGGCATTATTAAACACATGTTTGACCTATCTAAAGAATGCTGAAATATTTGATTTCTAAAGCTATTAATTTGTCTTTAATGTTATTTTTTTATTAATAAGCTGCGAATGTCATGTTATATAATTTAATTAAAATGTCATTGTTTCTCCTACTATTTATGCTTAGATTGTATGAAATGTTCTTTTTAGTATCAATAACTTGACTTCATTTAATTCTGTACTTTAAGATGTCCGTAAGAAGTCACTTTACGATTTGATACCTGGTAACTTGAAATATAATATATATCGTTGTAAAAACGATAATGTATTTTCCTGTTTGAATTCTCATCAGACAATATGATGTAAGTATGAATTTCTCTGGAGTATTTTATTAAAAAGTTACAATGTTCTCGCATTTATATAAATGTATTACTTTGTTGCTTAACAAACTAAGAAAATAACATGCAGAATCGCTCAATCTGTAAATTAAAATATAAGTAACGGTTATTATAATGTTAAGTTTTCAAAGAAATGCAACCAAATATATGGGATTGTTCAATTTATTTTCCTTTAAAAATGCAAATAATTTCAACCTTGGAACATTTGAACTTTACCGACAAATGTAATAAGCATGACGTTGAGATGCAAGCCAATTGAAATGGACAAATCATGTGCATTAATCTCATGATATCAAAAGGAAAGGATGAAGGGTGAAAGTAGCATTTTTCACGATTTGTGCGCGTTAAAATAGAATATTCGTTAAAACATCAATGTTAACAACAGATCGCCATTGCAAAACAAGTCAACGCGTGCAAATATTTAACAGAATTAAATGTTATGCAAATATTGGATTTGAAGTATAATGATCTTATTTGTTAACCGTATTAAAGAAAATCTTGATGAAGCCGGAAATTATTTAGTTGATATCAAATAAATAACAAGCTTATGTTGTCATTAAATTAATTCGGTAAACATGTTATTGCCTCCTACATGTTTTGCAGATAGTTTAAGTAGAGAATACTTAATAATGCACAGAGTATAAGATCATTACGTTCATGTATCATGTACAATAGGCATATAAATAAATATGTGACGATTTACTCTTAAAGTCACATACACTTCTACCTATCTATTTAGCTATTTATGTTATTTCTAACAAGGTTTTACTTTTAGTTATCATTGTAATTATAATGTAACATATTCTAAACTGGTACTCATTGGCAAAATCTCTGAACCAATTTATATTTTTTTTGTCATTATTAAAGCTACAACGATTTTTAGTTTTTTGTATGGAATTTAAAAAATCTATATTGTTTACATTTTGCTTTTTAAGACAAATTATTTCATATTCATATTCAGTAAGCATTAAACATGCTATTCGTTAAACAAATGTGTGTACGTTATTGAGCGGAGAATCATATAATTTTTAGGCTTTGTGTGCCTTTAACAAAAATATGCTTAATATTTGGTAAATAAAATGTTAATAAAAATAATTCTGAATATTTACAAAATAAGGTTTATTTATTGTCTCAACGAATATGAAATAATTGAAAATTACAGTAATTATGCACAAAGTAATAAAGAAACGGTCTTGCATTTGATGCGTATATTTGAGGGTGTCGAAACTATACGATCGTTTTAGTGAAAGTTAACAATATTTGTAAACTGAAATTGTATCCTGTGTGTTTCTTCTCCTTACTCCTTATCCCAAAAATAATCCATTTGATTCAAAAAAATATATAAACATCACTTGATATGTTCCATCAATGAAATTCTAAGATGTTAGTCTGGACAGTTTTGAAATGGAGATGTCATTGCTTTACATTTGGTCATTGAATCGCAACGATTATTTCCAATTTAAAGGCATATATTACCTCAGAAACGGATAAATGTTTCCTTCATCAGAAAAAGCATACGTAAGTAAAAGAGGAGGCTTATCATCTGAATAAGGTAGAGATGAATGTGAAATTATTTGTCATAAAAGTACCACATGTAAACAAAGTGGTTTTTCGACATCCATACAAAATACTTATTCACTATAACTGTACTAATAGCCAAAAAGGAACAAAAGCAAAATATGGCTCAATAAATTGGCTTATGAGTTACTTTTTGGAAAGAATTACCCAACAAAAATAAAAAGCTTTTGAGAAG